AAAAAAAAAAAAAAAAAAAAAAAAAAAAAAACAAACCACCAAGATGTGCAGGACAGCTTCCTCCTGTCCAGTGACCTAAGGACATCTCACCAGACGCCATCTCTTGAAGGTTCGACAACCTCCCAGTACTCCCTCACTGGCGACCAAGCCTCCAGTCACATGCATGCCTAGGGGACACCAAAACCATTTCCAAATTATGGACATACACATGACTTCATCTTCTCCAGGGGTCATATAGGTGGTTGGGTCAGGCTGCAAAACCCAAGTAAGGGTGCTCTTGCTGTCTGACTTCCAGGTTAGACTAACAAGACAAATTTTATTCAGTTCCCAGTGCTACGACAAAAATAAAATAAAATGACAAATTCCAAAGCCCTGGAAGGTTGTGAGGGCTCACTAAGATCCACAAGAATGAGTCCCAGGGACTTCCGCCCCATGTGGAATCCTGTGTGTGTGTGTGTGTGTGTGTGTATGTATGTGTGTGTTTTGTTTTTGAGACAGATCTCTTTGTGTGTGTGTGTGTGTGTGTGTTTTGTTTTTGAGATAGATCTCTTGTTATATAGTCCAGGCTGCCCTTGAACTCATTGTGTAGCCAAGGCTGGTCTTGAACTCATAGCTCATGGTAATTCTCCTGCCTCAGCCTCCCAAGTACTGGGATCACAGGCATGTGCCATCATGCCTAGGTCCTTGGTGTGTATTATGTTGAGAGAGAAAAGAAAATGAAACTCTTTGCTTGAGGAAATGCCTAAATAGGACACCATCCATTTAGCTGTGATTTCTAGTTGGGGAAGAGAGGCAAAGAGGGCTCAGATGCTATTTTTGTCTGTCTGGCCATCTTCCTCCAGCTCCCATTAAGGTTGATCTACACCTGCTTGGCTTCGTGGTACCCTGTGTGGCGTTAAAAATACTACTTCGGGGCTAGACTCTGGTCCTGTCCCTCCTTTGCTTTGTGACCTTGAGTCAGATGCTTAATCTCTAGGCTGGGTGCCTCTTCTGCAAATTGTGGGGATTGGGCTTGTCAGGCTCCCTGGCTTTGTTCACAGGGCTGGTCTGTGTGAGGCAGGACAGTTACTACCTCCTCCCTACTGCCTTGGAGCACAGGCTGTGGCCAAGGGTTGGAGTACGTTCTCAGGATATAAAGTGGACTGATGAGTTCTGAAGGAGTACCCTTCATGAGGCAGGTGTGTGACTGAGCAGTAACCCTGGTGGAATTGTTATGTTCAAGGCCTGTTGATCACCTCTGCCCCACTGCTTAGTAGAGATGTGTGCTGTGTAGGTGTACTATGCAGGAAACAAGAACCATTGAGATATCAAGTAAAAGATATCAAGTAAGATATCAAGTAAAGCCATGAAGCCATGAAGCTACTTCCAACTGTGACCAAGTCTGAGCCCTGTACTTGGGCTCCAGTCAGGCAAGGTCTTGGAGCCAGCCCAGTTGGGTCACAACTAGTGGTTCTGTGGGAACAGCCATTTTTTGGTGAGGGAATGGGCAGGATGAGGTGACGTGAATTTCGCCTGCAAGACTCTGCATTCCCTAAAGTAAAGGGGGCTTTTTATTTCAAGTTTCTGTCAAGCATTGTCTTAAGTTGGGAGTTGTGGTAGTCAGAGATACCCTGGATAGGGATAGTTTTGGATAGCTTTGGCTGTGGTCCATTCCCTGTTGGGTTTGTCTTGCAGCCTTGGAGCCTCATTCTCCTTCCCTGATCGAAGATGGTAGTGCCTTGGCAGATAGAAGGCCAGCCAGGCACCCTGATCACAAACTACCCTTTGTGGACTCTAGAGCTGCTTCTCAGGGTGGAGTCCTGGGTTGTCAGGGAAGTGAAGTGCCTGGGGATTTCCAGTAAGATCAGAGGCACAATGAACGAGGTGTGGTGGCACATGCTTATATTCCTAGCACTTGGGAGACTGAGATAGGGCTGCCGCAAGTTCAAGGCCAGCCTGAGCTACATGGTGAGTTCAAGACCAACCCAAACGACATAGACTTGGTCTCAAAGAAACCCCCAAACAAAAAAAAGGAGGCACAACTGTTTGGTGTTTTCAGGGGAAACAGTTATATGGGAGCTGTTTCTTGTCAGCGTTCAGTCCCATCAGAAGCGGAATACAAATGGACCATGTTGTGGTGTAGGGTCCACAGGGTTGCTGGCTGCCCCTCCTGTCTTTCTCCAGTGGGCACTGCACAAGTAGATCAGATAAATCAAGAAGTTAATAAAATGGCTCTTCTCTTACAAAGGGGGTCACTTTTATTCAAAGGAAGGAGCAGCCACATGCATGGATGTCAGCAGTGTGGAAGTCAGCAAGCTCAAGCAAGGTTTGTAGTTAAAACCCTTTTTCCACATCTCTTCTCTGCACTTGAAGTCTCATACATGTTGTCTGTGCCTTGCCAAGGGGCTACAGACCCAATAGCCACTTCTGGTAGTTCCTTCCCACAGGTGACAGATGTCTCTGGGGACCAGATGTTTAGAAGTACAATCCAGGCTGAAAGGGACAGTGGTATTTGTTATTAGTGAGAGACGCTGCTCTGATGCCCAGTCTTGGAGCCAGGCTTGGGTCTGACTTTAAAGAGTAACTAACTGTCTTAGGCTTCAGTTTGCATTTAATAAAAAGTTCTGTTGGGCATGGTGGCTCGTCCTCATAGTCCCAGCTATTTGGGAGGCTGAGACAAAAAGGATCACAAGTTTGAGGCCAGGCTAGGCAACTTGGTGAGACCCTCCCTTAGAAGAGCTGGGGATATAGCTCAGTGGTAGAGTTCTCCTAAATTTGATCCTCAGTACTGGAGTGGAGGGGGTGGTTCCTTACTGAGCTATTAAAGTTAGTTTAAAAAAAGATTTTTCCTTAACTGTACCATATTCAGACTTTGGCCTTAGCTATGCCAAAAATGGGGAATTACTTAAATACATCCGCAAAATTGGTTCATTTGATGAGACCTGCACTCGATTTTACACAGCTGAGATTGTGTCTGCTCTTGAGTACCTGCATGGCAAGGGCATCATTCACAGGTAACCCAAAGCTGCAGGGTGGATGTGCAGAACAGTCAGTGTAGGGACAAGGGCCTATGGCCATTTGGCCTCCAAGCCAAAAACCAACCCTCTGGGGTCAGCATTGAGGTACTTCTTGGATGGTGGGACATGGGTGCCAGGTGATAGTTGCCATGAGAGCTGAGCAGAGGCTGGAAGTCAGAAGAACCTGTATATCAGGAGTCCTGCCTTTACTTGCCAGGTCAGCATGGGCAGGTGTCTTTCTGCCACGCCAGCGACTCACATGATCTCATCTTGTGTTTTTATTTGGTCAGTAGTGCTTTTGTGTATACTTTCTTTTAGTCTTATTTCCCATGACTTTCTGATAAAGTCAGATTGGAAGTATTCTTAAGCTTTTAATTTTTTAGTTAAAAAGCATAGATTATAAGTCACTAAAAAGTTTATTAAAATGATGATATGGTTATGAAATGATATAATTTGAATCTTTTTACTGTAAGCAATTGATATTTGTTTGGTGTGGACTTTGGACATGTGTTCTTGGCTGTTAGTCTGTAAAGATGGTAAGTATTCATCACTTTATTTTGTTTTCATCAAAGTAAGTATGTAAGAGTATGTAATAATGCAGTTGTTTAAGTATTTTATTTCAAATGTAAAAATCTACTTTTCCAGGGATCTTAAACCAGAAAACATTTTGTTAAATGAAGACATGCACATCCAGATCACAGATTTTGGAACAGCAAAAGTGTTATCCCCAGAGAGCAAACAAGGTATGTAAGTTTGATTTCCATCAGAGCCCGGTCCTGTGCTTATGGTCAAGAGCAACCACAGCTTCAAGGAATGTATTGCATTAGGTTGGCTTCATCATGAATGTGGGGTCTGTGATCTCTTTGCCTGGGTCCCACTGCTGGGCTCAAGGCAGTGTGTGGTCTGGCAGTTGCGGGGAGCTGCAGTTCTCCTGAGCATGCTGTACCTCATCCTCCTCCACAATGCTTGGTACAAGGTAATCATGGTCATTTGAGCACCAGGTGCTTAGCTGGCTCCTCCTGTGGATACTGTGGGTGGTGTCTGGGGAACATGTCCCTGGACCCTAAGGCCTTCTACCCACCTACTCTTCTTTGTTCCCATGAGATGTGCACAACTGCCTGTAGCCCAAGCATCCTGGTTTTAGGAAGGTTCTAAAAGCATCACAGGAGGAGTGGGGGCTATCTTAGGGGCTGGTCACTTGCTTGTTTGTAATTGTTGACCCTCAAGCCGTGTCCCCTGGAGTAGCATCTAGTCTTAAATTGCATGGTGATACCTCTACTCTGGAGGACTAGAGTAGCTGAGAATTTACCTGGGCCAGGAAAATGGCCAGGGCTGTCTTAGTAGCCAGGGGATTACCTGCTGCCTTTCCAGTGCTCACTGGATGGAAACCATACACTCTGGAGGTATAGAGAGGACAGCTGAACTCTTAAAAACTGTTCTAATGCATTGTGTAGAGAGACAGTTACGCTCTTACAATCCTTTGTAGGAGAAAGATAACTGTCTTCTGAGTTAGTAAGTGACCTTGAATAAGAACCTTGAGAACCAGAGCATCATGCCTGTAATCCCAGCACCCAGGAAATGAGGCAGGAAGATCACAGGTTTTAGGCTGGCCTGCTACCTTGTCCTACTTGATACAAGCCCAGAGTATCCCATGGGGCAGTAGGCTGAGACTCACCTGTGACCTTTGAGTTAGTCTTGAGTCCCTCACCTGTGCTGTGCTTTGAATATTTCTCGCCTCATGTAGATTTTCTTCAAAACCTGACAGTTTAGCATAGGCCTACTCTTATTGCCCTATAGCCACTTAAAAATATACAAAAATTAAATGCACCTATGAACTAGTGAAATGGATTTTTTTTTGAAAGAAACTTTTTTCTTCCTTCTCTGAGGAAAAAGGAGAAATATGTATGACTCAATTTTAGAATTTACTCCTGCATTGACTCCTTTTTACTTTGTGCAGAGATGGTTTCTCCAAAATCTTGAAAGCTCCCAGTGTTGATGGGAACAAGCCCTACCACGTTCCTTAGCTGTACAATGGGTATGTTACATGCTCTTCCTAAAAAGAGACAGATGTCTCATCATCACAGACCTCTGTCTCACTGGATCTGGGTTTTTGTGATTGCAAAGGCAAGAGGTAGGCAGTGGAGCAGGGCAACTATCGAGGGCCTGTGAGATTGATGAGGACTTCCTGGCAGAGAGGACTTGTGACTTTGCCCTTACCAAAGGGTTCCGTGGATGTATCTTGGTGAGATTAATTGAGTCACTTGAAGTAAGCTCCCTCATCTGCCCCTGGCCTTAGCCAGGAAACTAGTGTTCTGGAAAGACCTGGAAACAGATCTTTCTGGTATTCAGCCAGGTGTGGATATGATGCTCAGCAAGTAGAAGAGAGGCCTAGGAGATGGAAGTGGGGCAACTAAGATGGATAGGGAGGCTTTAATCACTGCAGCTGCCCTGTTGCTCCATCTATGGATGGCCATCATCTAGAGCCTTGTCCAACTGCTGTTTCTCATCCCTCTGTTCTGTGGATTCAAAATACCCTTTCACAACTGCCTGGCCTTGCCACCATTCTGACATGGGTAGGGAACCCCTCCTCTGCCTCCCTCCCAGGACAGAGAAGGCTACCTTCAAAATGGCAGGCTGGGGATGTAGTTTGCCTGGCATGTATGAGGCCTTCAGTTAAATCCTCAACAGCAGCAGAATGGACTTTCCTGTATTGTAGAAATGGAGTTTACATGCTGAGATGCTTATGCTCCCACTGCCCAGCACAGCTCTTTCCATCTTGACAGTGATTGCTGTGGTCCCCACCCCCCGCCCCCCGCAGCGCCCCCAGTACTGGGAACCGAACTCATGACCTTGCAATTGCCAGGCAGGCGCTGTGCCTCTGAACTAAATCCCCAACCCCTGCTGTGGTTTTTATTATGGGCCTGTTCCTTATAACTCCTCCACCCCTTGTCCCCCAGTGCCAGGGGTGGAACCCAGGACCTCATGCATGCTGGGCAGGTCCCCTGTCACTGAGCTACATACATTCAGAGGCCAGCTTATAACTTACAGTGGGTATTAGGAAATGGTACTCTGGAAGTTGCTCTGCAGCAGTCCTGCATGTTCCCCAGATCCTTGCCATTACCATGTATTTTTTTTTTTTTTTTTTTGGTTTGGTTTTTCTCCGGTACCAGGAACCGAACTCATGACCTTGCGCTTGCCAGGCAGGTGCTTTTGCCGCTGAGCTAAATCCCCAGCCCCCTACCATGTATTTTTATTCCTTTTCTCTTTGCCTGTTGGATAAGCTATTTTGCTTTAATTCACATCTCTTTGGTTCATTACATAGTTGAATGGTCTTATAGGTTATTGGCTCTTGGTTTGGTTTTCTTTCCTCTCAGGAGTCTCCCCAATGTTCTTGACAGTATTTTTCAGGGTCCTGGCAGGACACAAATACACCATGAAGTCTTCACAGAAAACCATGTACTGAAGGGACTGTTTACAGGGCTGAGGAACCAACTGGGCTGGGTCCCCACAGCAGGGCTGTGGGCTTTTTCTGTCTAATTGGAGGGCCCAGGTGGGGGCAGCTCCCAGTCAGCCTGCAGGCAGGACAGGTAGTGATGCCCTGCTTGCCAGTCCTTGGAGCAGAGGGATCTGGGCCAGATGTTGTACTGCCGTTTTCTGCCATACCACAGCTGATGAATCCTTTCTGTCCTTGGGCCCTGGGACAATCAGGGGTCTCCAGTGATAAGTGGGTCCAGAGGGTCTGCATGTCAACTCTGTAGCCTACTGGTGAGTGTCACATAGGCTGAGCCTTGGGGGCTGGAAGCTGAATCTTCCTTTGATTGTGGCCTCAAACACCCAAGCTGTTGGTGACTGAGAAGAGGGTGATCCCTGGCCATGCTATTTGTTGTGGCTGCCATGTGTCCCATGTGTTTAGGTGCCACAGATCCAGCAGTAAGTACAGCATAGACAGGCCTGTCCTCATGCTGCCCTGGTCTGGTGACTGGATGCTGGGTGAGTGTGATAGGCTCCTCTTTCCAAGCATCAGGTTAGAGGTACCAGGGAGGAGGGCACAATGTCAGGGTCCAGCAGGTGCCCTTGGGTGGGGCTAGCTAGCTGCTGGGAGCACTTAGTCTGCTCTAGGTAACACCACTGAACTACTTGCTGGCTCCTGTCAGCCATGTTAGACCTTGACACCTGAGGAATGCACCAACAGGGCAAGAAATTGTGTCTCCAAGTGTGACCTTTTCTCTTTCTCCTCTTCTCAGCCAGGGCCAACTCATTTGTAGGAACAGCACAATACGTTTCTCCAGAGCTGCTCACAGAGAAGTCGGCCTGTAAGAGGTAACCTGCTTTTATCCCACCACGCTTTTTCTTTCTGGAGTAGCTTCTAGGTTTCTTTATGAGAAAGTAATGTTTGCGAGAGGAACTTTGGTGGCCTTTATATATCCAAACATACTTGATTTACTTTTTATTTTTATTGGTATATGTTTGCAGTACATAATGATTATATTTCTCATGGAGAGTTGATACATGTACATAGCACATTTCAATTCTTTTTCCACTCCCCTCATTGCTTGCAAAAAATCTATCTCCCTATTTTGTATTATCTTTTATTTTGCTTTTACTTATGCTTGGGGTTTTTCACTTAAGAGAGATCATGTGATACTTCAGCTTGTGTGTCTCATTTATTTCACTTAACATTATAGTCTCAAGGTGTACCTATTTTCCTACAAAATATGACTTGAGTTTATCCTTCTTTATGGCAGAGTACTACTTCGTTGTATATAATGGCCACATTTTCTTTATCCATTCATTTGTTGATAGACATATACGCTGCTTCCAAGATTTAGCTGATGAGTTGTGCTGATATAAACATGGTATGCATGAAATCACTGTAATATGATGTCTTTAACTCTTTTGGGAAGATACCTAGAAAGGGAACAGCTAGGTTAAATGGAATTTCTGTTTTTACTTTTTTGAGGAATCTCCATACTGATTTCCAGAGTGATTGTGCTAGTTTACATTCCCACCTACAGTGCAGAAGGGGTCCTTTTTCCCTGCAGCCTCACCAGCATTTGTTATTATTTGATTTCTTGGTGACAGCCATTCTTTATGGAATAAGATGGAATCTCAGTGTTGTTTTAATTTGCATTTCTCTAATGGCCAGGGATGTTGAATATTTTTTCATGTATTTATTAGCCATTCTTCTGAGAAGTGTCTATTCATTTTAGTTGCCCATTGTTTGATTCTTTTATTTTGGAAGGGGTCTTTTTTTTTTTTTTTTTTTTTTTTGAGACAAGGTCTCACTATGTAGTCCAGGCTGGTCTTGAATTCACTATATAGCCTAAGCTGGCCTCAAACTCACAGTGATCCTCCTGCTTCAGCCTCCCAAGGCTGAGATTACAGGTGCACACCACCATACCCAGCCTATTTTTTTTTTTTTTTTTAGTTCTTTTTCTTTGGTGTGGGGGTACTGGGAATTGAGCTCAGCACCTTGCACTTGCCAGGCAGGCACTGCACCACTGAGCTATATCCCCAGCCCAAGATATTATGTATTTGAGATAGTAGTGCTCTGTCTAAGGAATGGCTGGCAGTTTTTTACCCATTCTGTAGGTTGTCTGCTGTGCAGAAGCTTTCTAATTTGATATAATATCATTTGTTGATTATTGGTGCTATTTCTTTTTTTTTTTTGGTTTTTCTCCGGTACCGGGAACCGAACTCACAACCTTGCGCTTGCCAGGCAGGCGCTTTTGCCGCTGAGCTAAATCCCCAGCCCCCTGGTGCTATTTCTTAATGCATTTGGGGTTTTGCTCAGAAAGTCTTGTCTATGCCTATGTCTTCAAGAGTCTTACCTATTTTGTCTTCCCACAGATTAAATGTTGCTGTTTTAGTATTTACATTTTTATCTATTTTTAGTTTAGAATGTGGTGAGAGATATGGGTCTAGATTCAGTCTTCTGCACATAGATAGCCAGTTTTCCCAGCACCATTTCATAAAGAAGCTATCTTCTTTCCTTAGCATATATTTTTTACCTCTTTGTCAAAGAGCAGACAGTTGAATGTGCCTGGAGTTGTAAATACCCAAACATACTTTGAAAGAGGTTAACATTTTGCTTGTGTGTGTGTGTGTGTGTATGTATGTGTATAGTAGTGGGGATTGAATCCAGGGATCTATACCACTGAGCTTCCCCACTTTCAGCTCTTTCTGCTCAGGCTGGCCTCAAACTTGTGATCTCTTTGCCTCAGCCTCCTGAGTAGCTGGGATTACAGATATGTGCCATCGTGGCTGTTTTTGCTTTTTAATCTTATTTTTCCTTTCCACCTGTGTATATTACTTTATTGTAATATTTTACACCTCTGAGTTGGCTGTTGCTTTTCAATTAGCGATTTCACAGTTGTCCTTAAGGAAAGTGTTCGGTGGGGGAAGTGTGAGTGCTCTTGTGTAGGGCTAACTGTTCAGTGCACAGCCTCTGCAAGGGTGGGCAGAGGCCTGTGAGGGACAGGCAAAGGTGATTTCCTTTAGGGGGCAGCTAGTCCAGAGACAGCCCCACCAGTGGCTAACAGTGCCAAGGATGCAACTGGGCCTTGGTGGTAGTCTCAGTCACGAATAGTAGAGGCACAGAGTGACATGAGGATCATAGGGACTGGCACTGGTCCATGAGTGTGTTGTGTGTGCAGGATCATAGGTTGGAGAAGGATCAGTCCGCAGGTCAGCTGGGCAGCAGAAGATGGGAGGCCAGCAAGCTGATGGCCCACAGCAGGGAGGAGTTGAAGGTGCTATCTTGGGATACTGAGAGGTGTATTAGAATCTGTGTTCTAGATTTGGGAAGCATTTTCTAGCAACAAGGTCTGTGGAATGGATGCATCTTCCTGTTGTGGATCATGAAACTATGCTAAGTACTTGGTTTGGCCATGCTACTTGACCAAACCCCCTTATCGTCCCTCTGTCCTGGTTGGGTGTCTTGGGAGGATGAGTGAGTAAGTGATTTCTAGTTAGGCAGCTACCTTCCCTCCCTCCCTCCCTCCCTCCCTCCCTCTCTCCTTCCCTCCCTCTCTCCTTCTCTCCCTCCCTCTTTTCCTTTCTTCTTTCTCAGACAGGGTCACTCTGTGTAGTCTAGGCTGGTCTTGAACTCACTATGTAGTTCAGGCTGGCTTCAAACTTGTGCCAGTCCTTCTGCCTCAGCCTCCAGGATGCTCGGATTGCAGGTGTGCACCACCGTGCCTGCTAGGTAGCTCTGTTTCTGAAGTTGACAGCTTTGAGAACTCTAGATAGGGGATGAACCATGGGCACAAACTTGATAGCAGAATGAAGGATGTGCTGAAAAATTAAACTTAAGCATCTCAGTGGTTATCAACCCCTGCCAACTCATACAGTCACTAGATTTTGACTTCTTCCTGTGGATTAGAACTGCTCCATGCACCTGCCTGGCAAGTGCGAGGTCGTGAGTTGGATTCCCAGATCCAAAAAAAACCAAAAATAAAAAAAAAATAAAATCCACATGATTAAAAAAAAAAAAAGAACTGGCCCATTGTCAGAGCTGCCCAGCAGAAGCAGTTCTGCCTTGAGGACACTTAGCCATGTCTGGAGACATGTTTGGGTTGTCACAGTTGGGGTAGGGGTGCTATTGGCCCACAGTGGGTGGAGGCCAGGGATGCTGCTCAGCAGCCTATGGGACAGAGGAGGATGCTCCTGTCAATGTCTGAGGTGTGAGGTGGTGGGTAAAGTCTCCTGGCTTTCCAGATATATCACTTAATCTGAGAGCCAGCTTTCCTTGGTATAGGTTGTTCCCCAGATGCTGAGCTCCTCTGCATTTAGGGAGATTTCCAGGCTATAAGGGGTCAGGCGCACAAGCTACCATCTGTGTGCAAGAGAGACATATGTGCATGTTCCTTGTGGCTGGTTCATGTTCTGTAGGAGGATGTGCAAGAAACAGACAAAAGTGGTTGTCTCTAGGGGCTGAGAGCCGGTTTGGGAGGGATGCATCACTACATTGTTCTTGCTTTTACAACTTTTAATCTTGTGGTAGTCATTAAAAGTAATTAAGTTTTTAAAAAAAATTTTTTGGGGGGTGTTAGTAATATGGGGATTGAACCCACCTAAGGTCTTCACATTGAGCTATATCTCCAACCCTCTTAGTATTTTTTGTTTTGAGGCAAGGTCTTGCTGAGTTACCAAGATGGTACACAGGCTGGTCTCAGAGATGCAGTCCTCCTTCCTCAGCCTCCAAGAATGCTGTTATTACAGGCGTGTACCAAAACATGTACTCTTTTTTTCTTCTGATTTTAAAAGGAATGCCTGTTCATTGTAAATAATTCTTAGAAAATAAGTCTTATCTTTCCAGTCATTCTTCTGTGCATTTTATGTACGTTTATATAGTTTCCATGTAAGTGGAATTGCACTGGATAGCCAGTATGCATCCTGCTCCTCTTGGCTCTGTAAGGAGCAATTATCTGTCATTAAAATTATCTGTAGAGGGCTGGGGATATAGCTCAGTGGTAGAGTGCTTGCCTAGCATGCACAAGGCCCTCAGTTCAATCCCCAGTACCACAAAAAAAGAAAAGAACTATCTGTAGATATCTTTACCAGCAGTGTGATTTTTCTGTCTCATGAGTTTGAGATGGTACTGGTGTGCCTCCTATGTGTTGGCTACACTTGTATGGGGTTAGAGGAGGGCATAGGTGCTTTGCCTTGGGGCACACCATCGTCCTACAGGTGGGAAAGATGAGATTGCCCTGAATTCTTCCATGTGAGTTTCAGGAAGTGGCATGACTTGGTCCAGCTGAGCACTTGTAAAATCCTTGGTATATTCTGCTTTCCAGAACCTTTTTTTTTTTTTTTCCAGAACCATTTTAGGGCTTTCCTATTTATTATTATTTTATTAACAAAGCATTTAAAATCCTAAATTCATGTTTATGATGAAACTCTGGCATACTTCATAGTGGTAGAAGCTCACCCAGAGCCCTTTCATTCCCTCC